AATTCAAGAAGATACAAAATACTTTAAATACTATATTTTACAAACTATATTAAATAAATATATATATACACTATATAAAACATGTATAATTGAAGATTAAATACATATATCATATATGTATATATACCCTGTGTTGTACTATACTGTCCTTTTTCTCAGACATGTTTTAACGTTTACGAGTTCATTTCTCAAATACTCCCTGTCTCCTTTACTCGGCTTAAAAATTGTTTGCCCCAGTCTCGCTGTAATTCTTTTTACTTCATAAACTCTTGGGAGCCAATTAGAGGTTCTCTCTTTTTCTGCTATTGCCTACTTTCTGTATTTGTTCTCTGTCTCCACCAAATAGTTCTGGGTATTTCGTATTTTCTAATTGCTTGCGTCGTCATATTGAGTTTTGCCTTTACAGTTTACTGTCTTTCCTTTCACTGCCTCACTTGGTGTCATTTTTAATAGCACAATGAACTATTTTATTGTTGTAAGTCAGCAGTATGTCTAAATTATAGTCTCTCCAGTGAATATGTTGTTTTCCCTTCTTTTCATCTGCTGCTTTGTTTGTAAAACATATCGTCATAAGTGCGGATGGCTCTCTCACTGAAATTAGGGTGTCCTGTTGTGATGCGGCGGTGTATTCCTTTCTCCCTCAAGTAGTATTGTATTGAATGGCTTCTGTGCTCGATGCTGCCTCATCATCTGCGTAAATCATCTTGGTCTTCCCTTTAATTGTGTCCAACGCTTCAATTATACCCGCTGCGACATTCATTTCACCCTTACTTTTGATCGGGACTACTACCACAGAATTAATTTTAAAAAATCTACCATCAATAATCCTAGTTTGAAATGTTGAGTTGGGATGTCATTGATGAAAAAACAAACCCATTTAGATTTCATACAAGGGATGTGTTGGAATGAACAAATGTTGACCTCTTATTGCTTCTTCTTCTATACTTTTTTGAAACCAAGCCTTGACACCATTTAGGGCTATAGTCGGCTCTTTCTTTTTAGCATCTTTGTAAGTAGTCACCATTGAACCAAATCCTGCCCTATCAAAACGGGTGTCGTTTATTATATCATCTTCATTAACATCTTAATACAAATGCTATTCAATCGAGTCAGTTTATTAAATGTTTATCCTGTGTATTTTCTTTGCTTTGTTTGTCTTGATTTTTTGTCATTGTGATCCAGTTTATCAATTTCAATGTTTTCGGTCATTTTGTTTAATGTCTTCCTCTTGTGGTGTCTTATGGCGCTTGCTCTTCTACGTTAAACCTACTCCTTGTCATTGCTTCTGTTATGATATTGTGATAAGGTCTGCTTTACAGTGCCATTTGCTCTTTGATCTGTTCCCAATTCATATCGTCAGGTTGAAAATCCATGCCATAAGCCATAAATACTATGTAACAATTTTTCTTGACATGTTTGTCTAATAATCATTATCCGCTATAGTCCATTATACAGTACCTTAAGTTTACTGTTTTATACTCAGTATCATAAGCTAGAAATTATATGTGTTTTACTTTGGTTTTCGTTGTTTTTCCTCTTAGGATATGCACCTTCGGGTTTGAACTTCCACTACTGCGATTCTCCTTCTCATCCGCTTATCACTCCACCTTATCTCATTTCTAGGAGTAAAATGTGTTTCACTATCTCAACAACTCTTGTTGATCTTCATCATATACAGTGTTGGTTTCCTTATCTTCCACTGTACTGGGAGCTGTTTGAGTTTCATTGTTGACTATATCAGGAAATTGAGTAGATGCATTTGCTCTTCTATTCTAGTTTCTTTTCAGAGAGCGAGCAAATGACGTACCTTTTGATTTTTGGTTTTGCAGTCATTTGCAGCCACTTGCAGCCACTTGCTCAGGCAGCCACTTGCAGCCACTTGTCACTCAAGCAAGTAAGTTTCAACACTGTACTTTGAGTTCTTTATGTAAAAACTGTAATGTTTCTTCGTCGCTAGCTCTGCAGAAGATTAGAATCTATTCTCGGAAAAGTCTTGGATTATTTCTTCGCAGAACAGCATTGCAGAAATATTGGTTTTCTTCAGAACTGCATGCGGAGAAATCACGATATTCTCCGGGCAGACGTAGCAGTCACTTGCAGCCACTTGGCAGCCACTTGCAAGTGGCTGCAAGTGGCTGCAAAATGGAAAAGCAAAATGCGCACCTCCTGCGAGCTCAATGTTTCTTTTGCCGTACGGTGGAATGTTTTCTAAATATGAGTACTTCAAGTAGTTTCAGTAATCATCGCCAACAACTACTTTTTACTTTGTCTATGTCAACTCATTCTGCGTTAACACATTGATACTAATTACATTAAATGTTTTATGTATTACGCAATTCAACTTCCCCTTGCCCTGTCTTGTTTCTGCGTTCTTGACATTGTTCGATAACTTTTCTGCAATTCTTGTTTTCCACCCACCGCTTACTCTATCAGTTCATAATGCATTTTTGTGGTTGGGCCTCTTCCCTTTTCCTTTTCCTTGTTGGTAGCTCGTAGTCGGGGTCATCAACATTAACACCCCTCCAGATTGGTTGAAATTTCAGTTCTTCTTCGCCCATACTTTGTACCTTTGTTCCGTATATAACTAACATTGCTTTTTAGTCCCGCTTGTTTTGGTTCAGGCTGTTCTCTTCCTGTAAACAATTCTACTTAATCTTCATTTTTTCGTGTGGATTGGTTGTGCCATTGGGGTTCCTACTCTGCTGCTTGACCTACTCAATCCACCAATTATCAGGTCAAATTAATATGCCAAGGGGACCAGGGGACCAAGGTACAACAGGACCAAAGGACCAAAGGACCATACGACCAAGTGACAAGGGGACCAAGGGACCACAGGACCAGAGGTAAAACAAAAAACAACACAAGAAATTATACAAGCATAGACCCCAAACAGCTTAAAACGATTCGTTTCGACCAATATTAGTCAAAAATTGATTTCTTGGTTCGCCCTACTTTCACCAAGGGCAAACTGCTTCATCAATGAATTTCTGTCGGCATTGACATCGCTATTTCTTCGGCCACACTCCTCTCCAGTAAGCCGGGCCACAGAGTTCAGGGGCGCGGCCAAGACAAGGACAAGAGGAGGACAAGACCCGGACACAGAGCCGGGCCACAGAGCCCAGCCACAGAGTTCAGGGGCGCGGCCAAGACAAGGACAAGCGGAGGACAAGAACCCAGTAAGCCGTCCATAGCACACGCGCGCGCGCGCTCGCCCTGCTCGCTGTCTGGCTGTCTGTCTGTCTGTCTGTCTGTCTGTCTGTCTCTCTCTCTCCCTCTCTCTTTCTCTTCAAGTTTATCTTTCTCTGTCTTTCTCTCTGTAGAGCGCGCTCTGAGCGCGCCTTTCTGGAGCGTATGTCAGAGCGCGCGCCACAGAGCCCAGCCACAGAGTTGACAGAGTTCAGGGGCGCGGCCAAGAAGAGAGCGCGGCCAAGAAGAGAACAAGAGGAGGACAAGGCCTGGACACAGAGCCCAGCCACAGAGTTGACAGAGTTCAGGGGCGCGGCCAAGAGGGGGACAAGAGGAGGACAAGGTCTTGATCCCTAGTCCTGGTGGAGGGTCCACCTGGGCTCTATCTCCGCCTCGGGGGCGTCGAACCTTCTTGGTTGGGCATAAGCTCTGTTTCCATGAAGGCCCAGCCACAGAGTTGACAGAGTTCAGGGGCGTGGCCAAGAGGAGGACAAGAGGAGGACAAGGCCCAGCCACAGAGCCCAGCCACAGAGTTGAGAGAGTTCAGGGGCGCGGCCAAGAGGAGGACAAGAGGAGGACAAGCCCCAGCCACGGAGCCCAGCCACAGAGTTGACAGAGTTCAGGGGCACGGCCAAGAGGAGGACAAGGCCCAGCCACAGAGTTGACAGAGTTCAGGGGCGCGGCCAAGAGGAGGACAAGGCCCAGCCACGGAGCCCAGCCACAGAGTTGACAGAGTTCAGGGGCGCGGCCAAGAGGAGGACAAGAGGAGGACAAGGCCCAACCACAGAGTTAACAGAGTTCAGGGGCGCGGCCAAGAGGAGGACAAGAGGAGGACAAGGCCCAGTCACAGAGCCCAGCCACAGAGTTAACAGAGTTCAGGGGCGCGGCCAAGAGGAGGACAAGAAGGACAAGAGGAGGACAAGGCCCAGCCACAGAGCCCAGCCACAGAGTTGACAGAGTTCAGGGGCGCGGCCAAGAGGAGGACAAAGAGGAGGACAAGGCCCGGCCACAGAGCCCAGCCACAGAGTTGACAGAGTTCAGGGGCGCGGCCAAGAGGACGCGGCGGCCAGTGAGTGTGGCCAGCTCTTTTCTTTCTAAGATAGAACCCCAACAGTAAACTGTTTGGGGAAAAACTCCAAAAAGCAACAAAAAAACGAATCGCAATCCGTTTTCTGGCCGTGGTCGCTAAAGCATGCTAATTAGCCGCTAAAGAGTCCGTGGGCCGGCACTCCATTTGGTTGTTTGCTCGTCCGTGTCATAATCTGTCTGTCCGAAGAGTGTTTCCAAGCATGTAGCGTCCTTCTTACTAGTAAGAATGCTCCTAGTAGCGATGCCAGGAGCCCCTAGTAGCTTCTTGTTACTAGCTGGGTAAGTGGCACCATTGTTGTCTGGGGGGCCCGACCCTTTTTTTTTCCTAAACCGTCCGCCGATTGGGTAAAGGATCCGAGTTACTTGTCGCAAAGGATCCGAGTCTTGAGAATAGGCAACGCGTTTGTTCAAAAGAAGGTCTGAAAGCAATTTCACTTATCCACCAGCTTTTCGGAAACCAGTCATAGCACATATTCGTTGGTATTTATTCGATTTACGCAAATTGTATCCAATCTAGTATTGATCTTAACTCTCGATGTTGGAAAACATTAACTTTGTTAAGGCGTCAAGTGTATCGCTTTTAGGTTATAAACCCACTTGCTTTGAACGACACCTTGGTAGACACGTAGTTTCCAACCTGCCCATACCTGTATGTGTATATAACTATATATATAACATTACAAGTATTATACAGTATGTAGCACTGAGTTATGGATGTGGGTCTGTCAACAATCCGTGTTCTCCGTCCATGCTCTGTGCTCCTTGGCTTCGGTGACCTTGACTTTGTGGTCCTTGGAGTGTAGGAAGGGAGGTTCAGCAATTCATGGACTGGCACGCTATGCGGCAGAGTGGCCTTCTTTTCATCCACTGTTTCTGCTAGATCTTCCTCATCCTCAGGCAGTGTGAAGCTTGTGTCCAGAATCACAAAAGCACATTCACGAATCTGCACAGTCTTTTGTTCAGGCTGCGAAAAGTACGATTGCAATGCAAACTTCCTGAACAGTTGCTTTTTGATTCTCAACATTGTCAAGTGCAATATGTGTTTTACATGTGGCAAAAACAATACAATAACAATATCTCACATTGAACGCCTTTCTCCAATGCAAAATCATGTGATTCGGTTCAATTTTCGATGTGAACATATTGTCCTTCTCTTCTCTTCAAGTCTTTGATTCCACCCATCCGCCTTCAAAAAGGCATCACGGAGCTCCTTCTTGATCTTGGCTTTGTTGGCCTTAGGAGAGTGCATACACTCAGTACTTAGAGCTGTGGTAGATAAATGTCCGATTTGAATCCAATTTGAGAGCAACTGCCTTTTTTGTGTCTTTCGTTGTTGTGCCGCCAAACACGCATCGTGATATATTCATACTACTGTAATACAAATCATCAACTTTTGGTCATATGCACATACCATGCTCCGTCCTCCTATAAGCTCACTGTCTATACCAAGAGTGCATGGTTGATGGCTTTACGGCTTTACGGCAACAAACGCGCCGAGTTGATATTTTTATTAAGGCCAGTAGCGGCCAGTAGGGTGGCAGGCCAGGACTAAGTGGGTAGTAGGGTGCTACTAGCAACTAGCGCTACTAGTGGGACGCAGGAAAGCTCAGGCTTATTCAAGGAAGCTCCCCCCCACAGCTTCAACTGCTTTATTCTGAGAAAGGATCATTCTTCTGAACGGACAGGGCTGAGGACTTGTGACCAACATTGCCAACCTCAGTATCAATTGCCAGCCAATTTCTCATTGAAAGGTGGCGCATGAATTCAGTATAATTTAGTTAACACACATGAAGGCCCCTCACCTAAAGAACATGCGATGTGAATATGTATCTACCTACCTCATCGCGCAAAATGCAACAAATGGCAGGGTCAGTCTTGACTTGCCAAACACAGTGAGGGAACTTGAATCGACCCCATTCTCTTTTCCAAGGGACACTCAATGAGGAGGTCATGTGACTCGTACTGGACTTTGCCTGCATGGCTGGGCGTTTGGCAAAGGTCGCACCTATTGGCCAATGGTCAGCTATTTAGCAAATACATCCAACATCATTCAACAATGATTTGCTGAGGTCTTAACTTTCATGAGACCTGTTCCACACAGCTTGGCTTTTGCATATGGACAGAAGATTTATGTGCCCTTTAACATGAGCTGCAAAAGTCGTTTCCCGGCCCTCTGTTGACGAAACGTTTGACTTGACGGCAGTTTCTTTAAAGTCCTATTGTAAGCAATTTTCGGAGATCCACTGCAGGTAGCGAAGGGTGTGTCAAAACCTGTGGCCTTGTGTGGATCTGGAGAGTCGATCTCCTCACGGCAACACTCAAGTGTTCAGCTAGCTAAAACCAACATACCTCATTATGATGTCACATAATTTCCAAAAGGGAGAGTCTAAGCAAACATGTGCAAAGTCCTGAACAACCACCTGCACCGACTCCATGCCCTGAGGACATTGCGACTTGTGTGCAGCTCAGTTCTGTCTCTGTACTTTCTACTCGTAAAACCCATTCTGCTCTCATTGTCGAAAGTTCCCAGTGTCTCGTTTCCGGCAACTAAGAACAAAGTGTCATACAATCATTAATGTACAATTATAAGCAAATGAAACACCTCTGATGCTGGCTCAGTTCCAGCCTCTGATGCTGGAGCTGGCATTGTTTCCTGGTGGTTCGGACAACAACTACGACTAGATATGCTGCATGGGCAAAAGATTGATCTCTTTTCAAGGCGATGCAGTCACATAGATCTGCTCGCATCATTTGCTCATCATGCACTCATGCATTCAACAAGGCCATTCAGGCCTGGTCTCTGTAGGGGGATCTGGCGGCAAAAGAAAGGGACGGTGCCTGTGAAATAAGACTCTGGCGTTGACTTGCCTATTTCTTGATGGAACCTGTATGTATACGTCTACGTTGATGAACTAATCAAACATCTGATAACTGGCGTACTGACACATGACTTGTGTGCGCACATCTTGCTGTGAGCAATGCAGGTGAAGGCGACCGGATGCTGCGCCAGTATGCCCAGTATTTCCACCGTTATCAATACACTCGGGAAACCATTGACTTGACTTGTGGCCAAATCCATGATGCATTCACTTAGTTAGTGGTTTGAACACTTTGTCTTGCTTGGCATCCTCATCATCATCTAAAGGAAACCGTTCACCAACAGCTTTTGACTTGTAACGTGTGAGTCGACTTCGACCAGGACCCACCCTCCTCCCTGCAGGTTTTCCTAGCAGTGCTGCTGGTACAAAGCAGTTATTTACCATCAAATTAGTCACCCATGGATTCAACGGGTGCTCGCGATTGGTACCATGTACCCTATTCAACCTGTCAGAAACGAAGGGAAGAACTGACAAGTTCAGGGTGGGTGGGAAAAAGAGTGAAGGGTGCCCATCCTTGAGCCAAAATGGCAAGGATAGGCGCACTTCACCCACCCTGCCACCCAAAAGCGATAACATGTTCCGTCCACAACAAGTTGTTACCTCCAACATGTGATTCGACTTCGACCAGGACCCACCCAAGCAGGTTTTCCTAGCAGTGCTGCTGGTACAAAGCAGCTGTTTACCCATCAAATTAGTCACCCATGGATTCAACGGGCGCTCGCGATTGGTACCATGTACCCTATTCAACCTGCAGCTAACCGTCCGAGCCAGACGATGTACTAGACCCGGAGGAGGCGTCATCCTTCGATGTCGGGTGGCACTTCCGGCACAATTTTCTATATGACCCATCTGGCCTTTCAGGCGGACGAGTCGTCTTTGCGTAACTCCTTGAGGCAACCCCGCCGCATCCCGTTCTCCATTTCGACGGGGAGTCGCGGAGCTTTACAATGGCCTGGTTCCGAACTCCAGAACAAACATTGTCTACTACCCAGATCTCTCCACTCGACTGGGTGTAGAATACTATCGAAATTCCCTCTAACTGGTGGGAAGTGTCAGAGGCTTCACGCATCAAAGATTGAATTTGTTGCTTCAAAATGTTCCTTCTTCTGGTTCGTCATCTCACTCATTTTAGGTTCTTCAAGTCAGCTCTCAAGTCGAGGTTTCCGGCCGTGCTCAACGCCTGCCGAATGGCCGTCTGGTCGCTGACCTTGGCTCCCTGCAAGCCAGCTCTGGAGATGCGGTCAGCAAACCCCTAAAGTGGGGGTTCGGCAATGTAAGTGAGAACAGCATCAGATCCCCACCTGCCAATCAACTGTATCGTGATGGGGTCAAGTCCATGGTGAGCCAGAGTCCTGGCCCCGGTGATCCTGAACGAACGTCCGCTCACCAACCATGATCCGTCTCTAGCTTTCGACGCAGTGTTGCCAATCGCCGTTCTCAGCGTAGCAACCATGCCAGCCTTGGAGCAATAGTCACCTGCAGCATTGGGGAACAACGGACTGTCAGGATCGAGGAGTTCAGCTCTGTCATGTCTAAACTTTTCAAGCGCGACCATGTGCGCCGACAGCGTGTGGAATGGGCACGGCAGGTCAGTGTCACAAACACATGTCCACGTCCTCGTGCATCCTTTAGCCTTCCAATCCACCTTCGAGACCGGAAGGTTGAGTGACACTGCGGTGTCAGACAGTGTCACATCTGCAACATCAATGGCCGAGGCCTCCAGCTCGCGCAAGAGAAACATGGTAGCGCATGTGATGAGAGCTTTCACATGCACCGGTCCCTCAGTGTGGAAAGGGCCGTCCTTCTCGCGCAATGCCTTGGTCACTGCCAGCAAGTCGAATGATTCAGATGACCTGGCAGGTCCTGCAAGGCCCCGAAGGACTGACCTGGTACATTTGATTGCAACCACATCTAATCTGTCTGTCCAATCGTGTCTTGACATGATGTGGAACTCTTCTGCCCTGCTCATGTAGTTCTTGAAGGACTTGTAGCCCCCAAACTTGAACACAATCTCGCCTGGTGACCACGAGCTACACCTTCATGCACTACGACCATGGAAGCCCTATCAAGTCGACGAACGGCCGGCGTGTCTGACCTCTTTCGTTTCACTCCCGCAGTGTCGCCACACTGGGTGCCCGACTGGATCCTAGAGGGTATGGTGCCAACACCTGTCTCAGAGGTTCCAAGGAGCGACAGGTCCCCTCTGTTCGGATCCTTCGGCTTCCCAGCGTTGATTGTTTTCAGCCATCCTTCAATTTCATCGGAGGGTAGTGAAAAACTTCCCCTCTGGACACCAACCCTAAGTCACCCAAATTAGTAATTTTATTAACCATAAAATTTACGTAAACTTTTGGTTTTACTAAGGAAAATTTCCGTAAAATTTTACGTAAATAAAGGTACTAGTAAATCCAATTTAGGTTGTGAGTAAATCCAATTTAGGTTACGAGTAATTTTTTTCAGGTTATGCGTAAATTTTTGTGAGCATGATTTTGAAGCAGAAAATGTCTCAATTTATGTGAGTTGGCTTTGTCCAAAGAGCAAGGTTTTCTACAGGACAACATGTACTTGAGGATATTTGCGCTATGGATTTTTGCTTTTGTTGACTGAGCATTCCAGGAAGTGTGGACTTTGCCTTTACTTGAAGGGATTGCATTTACTTCAGCATGTGTACCCTTCTTGACTTGAACAAAACCTTTTTTACTTGAGGGTGTCTACTTGAGGGCGTCTACTTGATTCTGGGATTGTTTGATCACTGTTTGACATTTGAAGATGGTTGGTGAAAGTTTGACACTGGACACTATTATGTGTTTATTTCTGACCAGCCAGTTTTGGGCCATAACCATTGTTTGCCCAGCTTCATTCCATGCTCAGGAGAGAAGACCGCATCGAGACCATGATGGATGTCTTGCGCAA